GTGTGTGCGTGCGTGCGTGCGTGCATGTGTGTATGTGTGTGTGTGTGTGTGTGTGTGATGGTATGGGGCTTGAACTAAAGACTTGGTCACTGTCCATGAGCTTTTTCCCTCAAAGGTGGTACTCTACCACTTGAACCGCAGCTCCACTTCCAGATCTTTGGTGATTAATTGAAGATACGAGTCTCATGGATGTCCCTGCTTGGCTGTCTTCAAACTGAGACCCTTATATCTCAGCCTTCTGAGTAGCTAGGATTATAGGCATGAGCCATTTGAGCTTGTTGTTAAAATCATTTTAAATACTACCACTCAAAGATTGGCTCAGAATTTATTGCATGAAACAAAACAAAACAATCATTCTTCTAAACATGTGTTTATTTTTATTTCGTGAAATTGCACCTGTCATTTTTTTTGTCAGTCGTGGGCTTTGGTGCTGTCCTTCAGCTATTCAGCTCAAGGCTAGCACTCTACTGCTTGAGCCACAGCTCCACTTCTGGTTTTCTGGTGGTTAATTGGAGATAAAGAGTCTCCTGGACTTTCTTGCCTGGGCTGGCTTTGAACCACCATCCTCAGATCTCTCAGCCTCCAGAGTAGCTAGGATTATAGGCGTGAGCCACTGGTACCCGACTGCCCCTGTCATTTCTAGATTCTGAGATGAATAAATTTGTCATTAGTCTGATGTCAGGTAGTAACCCAACTGAATGTAAACTATATTAGTATTTTATAAGGCTGAGCCTTGAGTGCCAAGCCTTAGGTTAGTATCAGAGTGAAAACCTCAATCAGCTCAAATTGGCTTTTTAGGTTTTTGGATGGTTACAAACTATAGGTGATTGGTTCTCAGATTACATTCACCTAGGGAGCTTTTCAAAGTGATTTCCCCAAACGAGTTGGGCTCTCCAGGAGTGGGGTCCATAGTTACTTTATATGGGCTGGGATTGAACCTCATGCCTGCTACACAGGGTCTCACAGGCCCCTAGCTTAGTACATACATTTTTCAAAGCTTCCTGGCTAAGAATCTAATGTGAAGCCAGAGTTGTTGACTGCTGGTTATACCAGAGCTTCCTGGTCATGTATGGGAATGGGTTTCTGCTGTGTCCAAGCATTGATCCCTTACAACCAAAAACAAAAAAAATGATACAATTATCTGTGTACTAAGATTTGGAGGGGGGTGCGGAAGGAAGAAAGGAAGGGAGGGAGGGAGGGAAGTAAATCAAGCAAGCAGGCAAGCAAGCAAAGCTAAGCACCAGTGGCTCATGCCTGTAATCCTAGCTACTCAGCCTATAATCATAACCACTCAGGAGGCTGAGATCTGAAATTGTGATCTGAAGCCAGCCAGCCAGGAAAGCCTGTGGAAAGCATCTCCAATTAACCACCAAAAAAGCCACAGGTAGAGCTGTGGCTGAAGTGGTAGAACACTAGCCTTGAACAAAATAGCTCAGGGAAATGCCCAGGCCCTGAGTTCAAGCCCCCCAGGACCATCACAGAGAGGGGGGGGGGGTAAGAACATCAAAACCATAGATCCATTGTTTGTCTGGTTTTCCTGATGGTATATATCCAGCCCTCATTAATAGGGCCACCATTGTTTTTGGGTCTTGTGTCTCTGCAGCATACCATAAAGGCTCCAAAGAATGGCACAATAAAGAAGGTATTCTACAGAGAAGGTTCTCAGGCCAACAGACACACTCCTTTAGTGGAGTTTGAGGAGGAAGAAGCTGACAAAGGGAAATCACAGTAAACAACACCTAAGAAGGAGTGAAGTGAGCAGTATCTTCTTACCTGTGGGGTAAAAACAAAGCCCCTCCCACTGGTCCCAGGTCTCATAAAGAACATGTACTAGCTACCCAGGAGGCTGATTCTGAGGATTAGGGTTCAGTTCAAAGCCAGCCTGGGCAGGGAAGTCCTTAAGACTCTTTATCACCAATTAACTACCCAAAAGCCAGAAGTGGAGCTGTGGTTAAAGGGTAGAGCCCTACCCTTAAACAAAAAGAAAAGAAAAGAAAAAGTCAGGGACAGTGCCTAGTCACAGAGTTCAAGCCCCAGGACTGGCACACACACACACACACACACACACACACACACACAAATCTTTCATATTTGGGAATCATGTACTTGGGTAACAAATACAATGAATTATCTTAAAAGATTTTCATATTAATAAATTGAACTCTACTTTTGTATTTGAAGCCAGTGTTATTTGTATATGCCTCACAATTTTATACGTTGTAACAAATATACATCCTTTTCAAAAAGGGGCCCAGCAACAACTTGCTCAAAGGAATTGTTGAAGGAGAAGGGATCAGTAATTCCAGGAATTACTTCCCAGTTACAATCATGATGAAAACACAGAGTAATGTGTTTCAGAGACATAAAGCCAGGATGTTATTTTACTTCTGATCTTTGTGATTGGTTTCTCTCTAGACACCTCTACCTTTATTCTACTATGCTTTCTAAGCTTGTAAAAATGTGTACTATACTAGAATGTGTCCATTAATATTTAACTTGAATAAATTTGATTTCTACACAGGGTGTAAAAGGCTCTACTTCTACATTTGTGGGGGTTTTGTTGTTTTTGGTGCCATCTCACATCTCAGCCTCCTGAGTAGTGAGGATTACAGACATGAGCCACCAGCACAAAACTACTTCTATATACTTAAATCTGGAAAACCTTTTTCTTATTACAAAGGAAAAAAATTTTTTCAATTTTATTTTCTTCTTTTTGTCAAGGTTTTTATGTTACTATTACTAGCAAGTATTCAGTCCTCTGCATTTTCATAAATTATTGAAATATTAAACTGGTGAATTGTGGTTTTTTTCCCCAAGTACATAAAACTACGTTAAGTGCTGTGGAAAATACAAAGGAATATAAAATAGTCTCTATTTTACTATGCCTGTGATTTAATTAGGAAAATAAAACATAATCGTGTCAAAGGTGAGATTATGTGGGACAATATCAAATCCCAAGTAGATGAATTCTCTGTCTGCTAAGGGCTATTCCATCAACAAGAAAACAAGTGAAAAAGGTACCAGACGCTAAAATTGGAAATGGTGAGTCCTCAAATCAATCTGGCTGTGCTCCTTCATTAGAATGGCCATGCCTCCAACCTGAGAAGGCAACCTGGAACTCGAATCTCCAACTTGTAGTGGAGGTGAAGGCTGCTGCCATGACTGATACACAGTAGGTTTCGCAGCCAGGGTGAATGAGAGTTCTGAGGTGGAAAGTGATCAAGTAGGGCTCATGACGGAGGTCCCAGGGCAGGAGAGGGCCGCGGAAGTTGTAGCCTAGAAAAGAAGGGGCAGGGCTTTGCTGTTGAAAGGAGTTGTGCTCTTAGCCAGAGAGCCGGTAGGTCCCACCAATGAGTGGAGGAGCTCCTGGGGAGTGGCGCTATAAGAAAGAAGGTGTGGAATTTAGCTTGGGGTCAGATTGTGCTGTTGAGTTTGGGCTTGGGGGGAGTGGTGATAATTAAAAAAAAAAAAAATTAGCCAGGAAAGCAGTAGTATTTGGAGGAGTGTGTGTCTGTGTCTCTGTGTGTGTGTGCTGTGTCTGTGTCTGGAGCTTGAACTCAGGGCCTCTCACTCTTGCTTGGCTTTTTCACTCAAGGTTAGTGCTCTGTCGTTTGAGCCACACCTCCACTTCTGGCTTCCTGCTAGCTAATTGGAAATAAGGGTCTCAGGGATGTTTCTGTCCAGGCTCGCTTCATAGCTCAGCCTTCTGAGTAGGTAGCATTACAGGCATGAGGCACTAGTGTCCAACTCTATTTTGGTGCAATTTATCGAGCTATTAGAGCCCCTTTAAGAAATACTGACAAGCCGGGTGCCGGTGGCTCATGCCTGTAATCCTAGCTACTCAGGAGGCTGAGATCTGAGGATAGTGGTTCAAAGCCAGCTGCAGCAGGAAAGTCCGTGAAACTCTTATCTCCAATAACCCCCCCCTCCCCAACTCAGCCAGAAAACTGGGAGTGGCACTGTAGCTCAAGTGGTAGAGTGCTAGCCTTGAGCTAAAGAGCTGAGGGACAGTGCTTAGGCCCAGAGTTCAAGTCCCACAACCGACCAAAAAAAGAAAAAATACACTGTTTCATAGTGGGGTTGGAGATGTGGGTCAGTTGTAGAGCTTGACTAGCATGAACAAGGCCCTTGGTTTTGGTCTCTAGCACCATAAAAGAGCTCAATGCTTATTGTTCTTAATAGCAAAATACTAAAAACAATCGCAGGAAAAGAGAGAAGTGTACCTTGGCCACACAGGACACTGCAGACTAACAAATAACCATGTTAATGGTGCCAACACGGCTGAACTTTGGGATCCTCATGCTGAGGTGAGATGAACATGCCCTAAGTGACACAGTGTGGAACAGCTTACTCACACCTCCAAAGTCGGTAGTCTGACAAGAAAGCATTTTGCTCATACATACGTGTAACAAAACAAAACTTTTTTATTTTTTTTGCCAGTCCTGGGGCTTGAGCTCAAGGCCTGGGCACTGTCCCTGAGCTTCTTTTGTTCAAGGCTAGCACTCTAACACTTGAGCCACAGCACCACTTCCGGCTTTTTCTGTTTATGTGGTGCTGAGGAATCAAATCCAGGGCTTCATGCATGCTAAACAAGCACTCTACCACTAAGGCACATTCCCAGCCCCTATATCCCTTTTTTAAATGGAATAAAAAAAAAATTCAAAGTGGAAGCCAGTGATTCATTCTGGGTATTAGATAAGGTGATGAACAAGTGAGGTACAGAGAGCCACTGTTAATATTCTGGTTGGGCTAGGTGGCTAATTTGTTATATGTGTTACAAAATTATGCTTCAGGAAGTGGCACTGTAGCTCAAGTGGTAGATTGTGAGCCTTGAGCTGAAGAGCTGAGGGACAGCATTCAGGCCCAGAGTTCAAGCCCCACAACCGACAAAAAAAAAAAAATGCTTCATAACATTTAACACTTAAACTTTTTGTAATTCAAAGTGTGTGTGTGTGTGTGTGTGTGTGTGTGTGTGTGTGTGTGTGTGTGTGTGTGTGCTGGGTTCGATTCCTCAGCACCACATAAGCAAAAAGAAAAAAGCCAGAAGTGGTGCTGTGGCTCAAGTGGTAGAGTGCTAGCCTTGAGCTGAAGAGCTGAGGGACAGCGCCCAGGCCCAGAGTTCAGGCCCCACAACCGGACCCAAAATAAGAAGCTCATGGACTTTCCTGCCTAAACTGGCTTCCAGTCTCAACCCTTAATCTCAGCCACCTGAGTAGCTAAGATTACAAGTGAGCCACTCATGCCTAGCTCAAATAATTTTTTTTAAATATGCTTTACTTTCATCTGGCAAGAGTGTGAAAGGTGGGTGGCAGAAAACTAGAGTCTAAAAAAACAGTTATGATGTAGTTCTTAGAGTTCATGAGGTAGTAAGAGACTAGGCCATGTAAACCAGAGCTTGTGAAAGTATAGATATGCCAGGTACTGGTGGTTCACACATGTAATCCTAGCTACTCAGGTGGCTGAGCTCTAAAGATTCAAAGCCAGCCACGGCAGGAAAGTCTGTGAGACTCTAATCTCCAATAAACTACTCAGAAAAAGCGAGACCTGGTTCCATAGCTCAAGTGGTAGAGTGGTATCCTGAGAGAGGAAAAGAAAAAACCTAAGGACAGTGCCCAGGCCCTTAGTTCAGGCCCCAGGACCAGCAAAAAGAAAAAAAAAGTATAGATATGTTTTCTTATTTTGTTTTTAGCAATACTGTAGATTGGACTCATGCCTCATGCTTAGCTAGATAGGCTCTTTACCACTTGAGCCATATCTCCAGCCTCTTTTTGCACTGGTTGTTTCTGAGATAGGGTCTCATTTTTATGCTGCACTGCAGTGCTGCTCTGCATCACTGAGATTGACAGCTGTGCATCACCACTCCATCCATTGGTTGAGATGGAATCTCATGAACTTTTATGCTCAAGCTGGCCTTGAACCTCAATCCCCCAGTCTCCCATGAAGCTAGGTTTCAGGCTTGAGCCATCTACAGCTTTAAAGTACATTTTGAACAACACTTTTTAGCTTTCCAACAGCTTTCACATTTATTTCTTTTTGGGGCTGAAGATTAAACCCAGTTTTTTTTTCTCACATGCAAAGCAGTTACTCTACCATTGAAATGTCCTACCAGCTCTTAAATTTCTCTCTTTATAAGAGAGACCAGCAAAGTTACTCTGCGGAAGTTGATATCTGATCAGGATTCAAAACCAGCTTGGGCAGCCAAATCTGGAGGACTCTTTTCTCCAACTAACCAACCAAAATGCTAGAACAGGAGATGTGACTCAAGTGGTAGAATGCCAGCCTTGAGAGAAAGCTCTAAGTTCAAGCCCCAATTCTCTCTGTCTCTATCAGTCGATCTATCTGTCTGTCTGTCTCTCTCTCTCTCTTTCTCTCTCATACGCGCGCGCGCACACGCCTACACACACACACACAAGAATGCTAAATGTATTTAGTAGAACTAAGTGGAGTGATTGTTAAGGACACATATATGGAAGGCATTTGGAGTCAGCTAGTCTGATTACCTCTATTTTGGTGGAATTCATTCTAAGATCATTTCCAGTTGTAGACTGTGTGAGTATGAAGCCAAGTATTGGACACTGATCTCTTGCATAATCCTTATTTAACCATATCTGACCCAAGTCTTCTGAAATAATCATGCCATGTTTGTTTTCTTGGGTTCTTTTATTAGCAGAGTGTGACAATCAGCAAGAGGTCTTCAGGGCAGCTCATCTCTAGACTGTCCCTTGTAATAAATGTGTCAGGAACTGTGTATGGGCAAACCAATCAGTAACAAGAATAGCCCATGGAAATAATCATTCTTGTTCTTGAGATCTGCAAACTGCAAAGCATCCCATGACTAGGTGATTAGGATCAGATGTCAGATGTGCACCATCTAGCCCATTAGGAAAAAGTACACGCCAATCT